TATATATATATATATATTATTTTTTTGTAAATGAGAAAATATATAGTATTGCATATGAATATTTTATTTTTACATTTCCAGTTTTGTAAATACAAAACTAAATTATGTAGAGAAATTCTGATATCCATCCTATTTTCTCTCTTTGTATACAGGACAGTATTATGCAGCTTCAATCAGAGAGTGAGAGAGAGGCAGGCAGCTAGTGCTGTGCTCTCGCTATAGAAACCCCATAATGGTCTGTCTATCTGCTGTCATGGGGGCACTCTATATTAATTGTTTGTACAATAAAGATTTTATACATTTAAAAAATTACCCAAACTATTATAGTTTATGTTTAATAGACCAACATATAAATTGCGAGCCCTCACTATTTTACTTATGTAGAGATGTGTTACCTAATAATGTTTCTTTGAGGGTTATTCACTAATGAACTAAAGGATCCAACCTTAGCTTCGGCTGATCCTTCGGCTCACTTTGGCTGCCGAAGCCATATGGTTCATTCGAACCAAAGGGCTGCTGTACGGGCTTTTCACGCGCTATTCACACGCTCCGCCCAGTTGTTGTACTGTAATGACAGATCAGCGTCCCCAAATTACCTGGGGACACTGATCTGTCATTAAACAATGACAACTGGGCGGAGCCGGCTGTGAAGACACATCCGCCTCCCCCCAGTTGTTTTCATTTGCCCGGGACCTGCTGGAACCCCCTTTGTGTTTTGCTGTGCTCAGTAGTTCCCTGTGTTATATTATCTGCTGGACTCTGATAAGTAGGATCCAGAGTGCTGTGTTAGAGGTGTTGCTGCCACAGCTCTCCTGGATATGAGGAGGCCCCATGTTGCTGGGATTAAGGAGTATAGGAGATCCTAGAAATTCCATTTAATTATTGACCCAAACTATTAAAAGGGTTTCTCTTTATGTGAAGTTGATGCCTGGATTCCAGCTAAGTAGAAATAACTTTGCTAAAGATACAGGATAGGTGGAAAAAGAAGTGTTGGTGCTTCACCTATATGCTTAGGCGTGCATAAGGGGTGTGCCAGCTGTGCCTGGGCACACACTAATAACCCCAAGTGCAACACCAAAACCGCAACAGCGGGCACCATGTTTTTAGTCACTGCGCCAGTGGAGAGATCACAAAGATCTCTCTGTGACCGGCTCAGTGATACAGAGCGCAACAGTAATTGCCACTTACATTCCTCACATAACAGCTGCAGTGCTTGGTGCCTGGGAAGCTGCAAAGGAGCATTGCTGCAGCTTCCCATCCAATCAGGAAGCTAGGCAGGTGGTCACGTGACCACCTGCCAGGTCCCCTACTTTATTACTGCACCCCTGCTGGAAGATGTACGGGACAGTTGAAGAGATGGGAATCCTGGATGCCTCAGGTCTGTATATGTGTATACACGCGTGTGTCTTTGTAATTTTGTGTGCACACCCTAATGCAATAGGCTGTGGACCCCTATGCCCATAAGCCTCCTATATTCACCAAAAGGAAGGTTCACAGCAACTTCAGGGCACCTGGCTGAATAGGCTTTATCCCAAATATGAATGCAGATTTTATTACTGTTACAATGCCGAGGGTCTCATGAAGAAGCAGGTTATGTAAAAACCCTGTGAAATTGTCGAATGATCCTTGAGTGCTTGGAAATACCATCAATCATTATATAGAAGGTT